CACAAAACAACAATTAGGAGACACAAAATTACGACACAGGGACACAAAAAGACCAAAAATGAAATATAAAATAACCTTAAAGAGACCCATACAGCTACAAAGAGATACAAAAAAACACAAAGCGACACAAAACGACCAAGAAAGACACAACATTATCTCAAAGAGACAAAATTTGTCCTCATAAAGACCCAAACAACTATAAAAAGACACAGACAAACCATAGGGAGACACAAAATGACTACGAAAAAAACATAACATTACCTTAAACAGACCCAAACAGCTACAAAAAGACACGAAAAATCACAGTGAGACACAAAATTACCTCAGAGACACAAAATCACTTAAAAAAGACCCAAATGACTACAAAAAGCCACAAAACAGCCACAAAGCGACACAAAAACACAACATAAAATGACCTTAAAGAGACCCTAATGACTACACAAAGCCACAAAGTAACCACACAGAGACACAAAATTACTACTAAGTCACTAAAATGACTATAACAGCTACAAAGAGACACAAAACAACCATAAGGAGACAAAAAATGACTACCACAAAGCATGACAAAATGACCAAGAAAGACTTAAAACTATCTCAGACAGACACAAAATTACCCCCAAAAGACCCAAACAACTATAAAAAGACACATAACAACTACAAAGAGACCTAAAACCACCACAAAGTCTGTGTGTCTTGCCGCCATGTCGGAGAGGTGGTGGGGACCTTTGCATATCTTTGCCCAGGGGCCCACTGTCTCATGATCCGCCCTTGAATCCCTGTGGAAATGTCCTGTGATGCTGTTATTGGTTTTACATTAATCGTTAATCCACCATAACAATGACACAGCAGGAACCAGCACCGAGGGTACACACTCACCAGGGAACTTAAAGTAACTGTTTTTTTTTAATAGACGAACACAAGGAAATCAAAGTTCTATAATTTTTTTGATATCTTGGTAAAACGATGTATCACCGCTGAGAAAATTAGCAAATGAAATGAAAATCACTTTTGCTTTCAGCATGCTTTTAAAGAGCATTAGGGCTTTTCATTAGACTAATGGCAAAGAGAAAAAAGTGTGTGATGTGTGTGTTTGTGTGTGTTAGTGAGTGTCAGTGTGGTTTGCATGGCCATCTGTGGAGTGATCTACGTCTCTCCTTGCTAAGTGGAGTCGTTAATATTTGCATTATTTAAACCAAGACGACGATCATAACTGATTTATTGTGCGTCTTTGGGGCTTTTAGAATTAAAAGGATTGTAGAGGAGCCAAAGCAGACGCCCGACTGCACACTCAAACTGCAGGGGCTACTGCTATGTTGGCTCTCAGTGTGTGTCGCTGTGAAGTAGAACCCAAATGACGAGGGACCCAAAATGTTTGTTTATTTACTCATCGTCAGTTGTGTTGTTCTTTGCAGCTTCTGGCTGTTGTTTTAAGTTATCTATGCCAGTGATGGGACTGCTCATGCTGTGGTGGACAAGCTGAGCAAACAAAGAGAAGACAATGTCTCTGTATCTGTAGAACAACAAGACTGAGAGTCCACAGCTACACCAGCGGCTCTGGGAGGCTTTGCTCAGACACAGCAGGGCTTTGAGCTAAATGCTAATGTCAGCATGCTAACACGCTCAGAGTGCTGTTGTTTAGCTGGTAATGTTTACCATTTCATGTCCAAGTTAGCATGCTAACATTTTAATTAGCTCTAAACACAAAGTACAGCTGAGCTCATGGAAGGTTTGAGAGGTATCTGTTCATAAACAAAACAATCAATCAATAGCCTTTTCTACACAGAGGTAACACCACAGGGCTGCAATGAAGACTCTTCATTACACAACCTTTGCTTTTTTTACACAGAGCCAACAAAGGCATTATGGCGCCCCAGTCTGTGATTTTAGACAGCATGGCGGCATTATAGAAGCAAAAGAGGTGCAAGGGGCGTGATGTGTAACAGCGTTGGCCTCTAGTGTGACATTAGGGTTGGGTCGGTTCTCGGTAATACCAATTCGGTCCGGTACTCCGTCTTGGACCGGGTTTTATTTTTTGAGACCGACCAGACCGCATACTCGGGCAGAACGTACGCGGAGTGGACACCGCGGTCCACCTGGTAAAAGTGGACATCCGCAAGCCCTGTGCGCGCAAAGCACGACCGTGCGGACTCCGCTCCGCGCACCAGTGTCACACAAAAGACTGTTCGGCATGTATTTTTCACATTGCGGGGATTTTTCACGGACATTTTTACACGGAGTCCGCTCTGCTTATAGTAAGCCCGAGTCTGTGAGCACCTGTGTCTGCCTCTTCACCAAGCGCACAGCAAGCAGGAGAGAGAGGGGGGTGGGGGTGGGGCGGGGACTGAGCTAGGAGGTGCGAGTGCGCATGCGCCTCTACTGTAGCCTGGAGTTTGTTTAATAGTGACGGGGAGTCGATAATGGCGGACAATTTAGTCTCGAAGAAATCAAAGAATGCGCCACTATGGCAACACTTTGGCTTTGAGCCAGATGAAGGAGGCAACCTTTGTTTGTACTGATTGAGTAAGCTGCAAAATTTATTTGTAAGAAATAAAAGAAACAACTTGTTACTGTCACTCTGTTGTCCTAAGGTCGTTTTTTATTTTAAATGAGTCAACTGCGCCCCCAAGTGGCGAAAATCCGGTATTACCGACTTGATGCGGTTTTTTACAAAAACCGGACCGTTTTTTTTTTTTTTCATACTTACCCAACCCTATGTGACATACAACGTTATGCATCGGCAACACTTTCCAGACAACAACAATGGCATTAACATGGCAGTAACGACCGTTTATCATCTCTGTTTTACGGCAGCTGATCTCGTCCTCTGCTCGGAGGTAACGAGCCCCAATTTGTTGCCATTTTCAGCCGCAGTTCTTCTTCAAGTTAGCTGCTAACTGCTGCTAGCTGCCTTTAAAATCTCCCAATAGTGGGTTGCACACATTATACGTCATCAAAATGTCACACCAGTTCCATCCTGTTGGCTGTCTTTTCTTACGCAGACATTGATTCGGTGTTGTTACTACCTCTGCTGCGGGCTTAAATGTGAGGTGACTCAAAAAAATGCATACAATGCATTACATGTGCGTCTATATATGTAGTGTAATATATTAGTGTAAGAAAATATTGATACACTTGATTGATACTTGATATTGTGCTTTGTGATACTTTCTCAAAAACACTGCATAGATTTTTAACTAATCGACCACTTGATTACAGTGTTATAATCGATCTCCAGCCATTTCATTCTTCCACGCTAACCTAACAACATACCCCTAGTCTCGTCTAGTTCCAATAGAAGTGCTGACTGAGTGCATTGAACAAATCAGCTGGATGTGCCAAATTTTTCTTTAACTGAACGAAGAAAAAACTGAGGTAATAGTTTTTGGAGCCAAGGAGGACTGAAGAAAAGTCAAAAGTGCTCAGCTTCACTTGGCAATGTTAAAAACCACTAGCCACAAATCTTGATGCAGTCATGGACTCAGAGCTGAATTTCAGCAGCCACAAGACAATTACAAAGTCAGCCTACTTATTAACATATCAACAGGATCTGGAAAAATTTGTCAATTTTTTTATCTTGAGTAGACTTTACTACTGTAACAGGGTGCTTACGGATCTCCCTCAAAAATCAATCAGACGGCAGCTGCTCGAGTCCTCACTAAGACCAACAAAGAATCACATCACTCCAGATCTGAGGTCTTTACACTGACTTCCTGTCTGTCAGAGTCGACTTCAAAATGCTGCTGTTGGTTTACAAAGCACTTAATAGTTTAGAGCCCAAATGCATTTCTGACCTTCTGCCACGTATGAACCAACCAGACCTCTCAGGTCTTCTGGGATGGGTCTGCTTTGTGTCCCCAGAGTCAATGTGATGTTGACATCTTTCACAGCACAGTCGAAAACTTCTTGCTGGTGGCGCTAGATGAGAAGTTGGACGATCCCCAAACTTGTTTGGATTTATCCGCTGAATATGTGTTCCAACTTCATGGCAATCCTCCACAATATCACATAAAACTGAAAATGTCCGTCTCATGATGGCGATTGAGCAGAAGGCAGGGGATCACATCAGTCAGACGGATTCATCCTCTGGGGACTTTGAATGTCTCGACAAAGCTTCGTGGTACAAGAACCAACCAGGAGGAGACTCGAAATGACCACAAAGAGACGCAGAAAGACCACAAAAAGACACAAAAAAGTCACAAGGAGAGACAAAATGACTACGAAGTGACACAGAACAACAAAGAAAGAAACAATGTTATCTCAGAGTTTCATGGCAGTCCATCCAGTATTTGTTGAGATATTTCAGTCTGAACCAAAGACACTGCTGTTCGTATTGTCAGGTTGCTAAATTGGCTGTAAACCTCCTCAGTTATGGTGCCACATTCACATTAATGTGCCTCTCATTTTTTAATGGCATCCATACTTTTGGGATTGTGCTTCTTAAGGAGAAATAAACCAGGAGAGGAAATCATAGCTGTGTTGCCTGAAAGTGAAACAGTAGCGTTTTAGTTACTGACCCTCCTGTGACACCACAGCACAAAGCCTTTCTCTCGATTTCTCACTAAGAGCTTTTGGTGCATGAAGGAACCAAAACAAAACTGAGCTTCTCTCAGCCTCCATCTTTTCCTTTCTCTCTCCTTTCTCCAGCTTCCTCCCATCATTGTTCCCTCTCCCTCCCTTATTGTCCTTATCTTAACCCCGCCTGTGCATGATTCAGTTCTAATCTGAGTGATCCCACATCATCGGAATTATAAATCAGAGATCTATTTTTAGCCCGCGCCGAACCCTCTCCTCCTCTCCTCCTCTCCTCTCCTCCTCTCCTCCTCTCCTCTCCTCCTCTCCTCCTCTCCTCCCTATCTATTTCTCAGACCTCAATATGACAAACAGTTTGGTTTTAATTAAATCTTGGTTATAACCTGCCCTGACATTTAGTCTGCTGCTGCCTCGTGTCTGATGATGTAACTCAACTCCATCTGTCTGTCTCTCTGACTCTTTCTTGCCAGGACTCTGACCTTGTCCTGACGTTCAACCTGTCCATGCATCGCTCCTGGTGGATGGAGAACGGCCCGGGGTGCAGGGTGACACCCATCACTCCACCTCCCTCCTGGGCGCCCGAGGACCACCGATATATATCTATATCCGGCTGTCTGATGGATTTCCAGTTCATAGAGGTGGCTCACTCCTCGCTGCAGATACTCCTGGCTGTAAGTACTCAGGCTAAATAAGTACTTTCTAGTATGTACCCTAATTTCAAACTCAAGTATTGCTTTCTTTCTGACATAAAACTTAAAGCACCATTATTGATCTTTTTTACCACTTGTGGGAAATAAAAGAAGCTGTAAACACAACATTGACGTAGCTGTGTTTCTAAAAGCACATTTTATAATATTGCATAAGAAAAGCTGTTTGGAAAAGGCAAATCTAATAAAACGTCCTCTTACTTGAGGTGTTTTTCACTTTTGCTGAAAAAGAGTTGATGCGATAAATGGGTTATGTAAACGCCTCTGCTGAATAAAGCATTTAATTCACATGACTGATCGGCTGTTTCTACTGTCGGTGTCTTCTTATACATAAGAATTGTAGCCAAGGTTTATAAGATGCATCTATACATATGTAGATAATTAAATGAAAACATAGTCTGAACCAGCATGAACCAAGATGGCAACCCACTTTAGCTCATCACAGCTTCACCCCTTCTGCTTTTACCTTTCAAAATAAAAGCCCAACTTAAATATACTCAGAGCACCTTGCTAGGTCGCAACTCAACAAAATTACGTACAAAAATCATTGTTAAGTTGTCTTCATCTCCAGACAGCATGAAACATGGCCAAATACTAGTTGACATGAGAGAACAATTAAAACTTACTAAAAATAAATTGCTGAGGACTCTCTCTGTATTTCATCGTAAATGCAGGTCGCAACCTCTTCTTCTTCTACTCTGTTTACTGGTGGCTTACAGTAAAGTGTAGTCAACACCGCCAGCTTCTGACATGACTACGCTTTGTGTAACCTAATTGATTTGTAGGGATGCACCGAATATTCGATAACCGAATATATTTGGCTGAATATTGCAAAAAAACACACATTCGGTATTCGGTGGAATAAGTTAAAAGCAAGGCCGAATAACAGCGACATGTTTTGATAACACAATCAAACAGCGTGCCGTGATGGGCGGAGTAAAATGTCGGCAATGTGGCGATCTGCCCGTCACGGCACTCGCATTTGCGACTAAAAATAGTTTTGAGCGAGCAAAATAGGCTTAAATCATCGGCCATCGGCTTACCGGCGACAGAGAAGTCGACTCCAATAATATCCTTTTCTTGGCGTCATGACTGCCCAAAAGTACCTTTACAGCTGGGCCAGCCGAGCACAGGTATGTGACGTGTCAGAGGAGAAACGAGCAGTTAACGGACCACAAACCTCACCGCACTTTAGGGACTGTTCTTTACTTGTCAGGGGAGGAGGGTGGCTGGTTGATTATTATTTTATTTATTTATTTTATTTTGATCCCCCCTATGTTAATCACTCATTGATGCTGTTTTTGAAGTATGAATAAGTCAATAAGTAATTTATTCCATTGAAATATCATTGATGTATTATAGAAAAGTGATTTATCTTTTTATAAATGACAAAAGGCACATCTGCCTCATTTTCGCTGTGGTATCGTGATACTACTCAGAACCATGATATTTTCATTGGTATTGTACAGTGGGTCCTAATTTTGGTACCCTGACAACACTAATCTGGAGGGAGTTCATCTGCAAAACCTAATGAAAAACTAAACAACAATATTCAATCAATTCAATCAATCAATTTTATTTATAAAGCCCAATATCACAAATCACAATTTGCCTCACAGGGCTTTACAGCATACAACATCCCTCTGTCTATTCGGCATTCGGTACTCGGTATTTGGCCAAGCCTTTAATATTATTCAGCTTCGGCCGCAAATTTTCATTTCGGTGCATCCCTATTGATTTGCTTAAAAGCAGTTAATCAATCATCAATCAATCAATTTTATTTATAAAGCCCAATATCACAAATCACAATTTGCCTCACAGGGCTTTACAGCATACGACATCCCTCTGTCCTTATGACCCTCGCAGCGGATAAGGAAAAACTCCCCAAAAAAACCCCTTTAACAGGGAAAAAAAACGGTAGAAACTTCAGGAAGAGCAACTGAGGAGGGATCCCTCTTCTCTTAATGTAAATACATCTAATTCACTATTAATTTTTGTGACATTGGCTACGGTTACATGATGGCTTCTCACTTGGAATTGAATAAATCTGAATAAAATTATTCGGAATTAAAGTTTTTCCAGGTAGTTTACGTGAGAAATATACATTCCGAATGAGGGTTTACATGGGAAATCAGTTTAATCACCTTTTTTGGGGTCCGCGCAAGGTTAGGGGCAGGGAAGGTTTCTGATTGGATAGGGGGCGGGGCGGATGTTACGTGTTTACGTTTACCAGAAGAAAACACTGTAGTCCTCGTTCCGGATAACAAGATGCTTGACGACGCCGTTCTTAGTGCCTTTTTCGGGCTTGTTTTGCTTATATTCTTGAAGCAGCAGTACGGAGGAGGGAAGGTAGAAGGTCGAAGAGGAGAGGTAGAAGACCGTGCTTTGGGGAATGGAAACCGGTGAGTGCAACGAGTCCAACTGCTCTATCTCAGCCCGTTGCTATGCGCGCTATATACGTCATCGCGCCAGAAAGACCTGAATGAACTTAAAGAGGAATGAGTGTATACAAGTGTGAGACAAGATCACTTTTAATAGGAATGAACTTTAATTCCGAATGAAAAGGGAATTAAACTGTCCATGTAAACGCACTCATTCATTCATTTATTTTCCATAACCACTTATCCTTTTGGGGGCTCGTGGGGGCGCTGGAGCCTATCCCAGCTGACACTGGGTGAGAGGCGGGGTACACCCTGGACAGGTCACCAGACTATCACAGGGCAGACACATAGAGACAGACAACCATTCACACTCACATTCACACCTACGGACAATTTAGAGTCACCAATTAACCTGCATGTCTTTGGACTGTGGGAGGAAGCTGGAGCACCTGGAGGAAACCCACACTGACACAGGGANTTAACCTGCATGTCTTTGGACTGTGGGAGGAAGCTGGAGCACCTGGAGGAAACCCACACTGACACAGGGAGAACATGCAAACTCCACACAGAAGGGCTCCCCCACCCTGGGGTTCGAACCAGGGACCCACGGCCCCCAACAGGATAAGCGGTTATGGAAAATGAATGAATGAATGAACTGATGAAAGCAGTGAGAATCAGTAAACCCAAAATAAGTAGCAGAATTGGGTGATAATTGGTTTGACATCATGTATGTAGTTATCCACAGAGACTGATGTGGATATTTTTATGTTACTCTTGAAAATAAATGAATCCCAAAATAGAACTATTCCTCTAAGTTAGGACATTTAGTATGCTGGCTGTAAATTAAAAAAATCTGCTGTGTCATTGTGCTTGTGCAAACTGGGTGGATGTAACATACAGTAGTTAAATTCTGTTCTCTTTGTGATGTGTTTGTATGTGTGTGTGTGTGTTGCAGCACTTTGAAATGAATGCAATTATTAAATTGATGTTCTATACAGAAACACTCACTGATACATTTAGTTTAATGTATTCTAAAGTGTATTACAACCATGCCAACTTCTTTGTCTGTTGCCATTGGTTAGGGAATTGTGTGTGATTGTGCAACTTTGTGGTAAAATAAAGCACCCAGGCTCCATTAAGTTAATAACTTCATACCCTCATTAACATAGAATGGGCTGGATAAGCTGCTTTAGAGACTCACTCTCTCTATCTCCGTTTTTTTGTGTGTGTCTTTTTTGCCCGCTCTGTCTTATTTCATTGTTACAAAAAAACGATTTCCTTCTCTCTGTTTCCCCCTCTGCCTGTCGCTTACCCTCGCCCTCTGTATTTCTTCCTCTCCTGCACTGTCAAACTGTGATAATTAGCAGGATCAGAAGAGACCGCAGAGAGAGAAATAAAGAGCGGGAATGAGGGAGGCCTGTCACTTTTCATCCCAGTCTCCTCTGTACTGAAGCTCCGTTTTGTTTTTTTTCTCAGAGTGCACGCGCGCATATGAATACAGGCGTGCGCGCGATAAACAAACCGACGCTTCAGTGTGACTGCATGCATCATTACGCCAACAGAAAGAGAGGAAGAGTTTTGGGAGTTTCAGCATTTCCACCTCTTTTGTATTTGATTCTGCGTCTTCCTCCCTCACTTGGCATGACTGTCTCCCTCTCGCACCCGCTCTCCTCATGCACTCTCTGTCAATCGATAGTGGTACTTATAGTGTGGCTGAGTGCCAAGCCACCACACAGCTGTACCACTGTCTCGCTGTAATTGGTGTGTGGAAACACTGTCATGCTCCATGAGCACACACTCAACAGTCTGACTGGTTCACTGGCTGACTGGCCGGCTGGTTTACTGTAATTGGTGGAAACGCTGTCAGTGTCCTTAATGGCATACGTTCAACCAGTCGACTGGCTGACTAAGTGCGGGGTTAGGGTAGGGTCGGGTCGCACTGTAGACTGTATAAATAATGGACGTAGTCTCTGTGACGGCTCCCGACCATCACCATCTAATCACTGCCTGACTCCGCCTAACTCCTGGCTAACCCAAAAAATGGGCAAAGAGGTGGAGCATGGGTGGAGCTTAGGCGGGCAAAATGACGTCTGGTTGCTGAAACATGGCCACCCAGAGGCTACCAAGCTAACTAAAGCCCCTTTCACCCTGCCTGTTCAAGGCGGTATTATCATGCTGTTATGTTGCCACGTTGTGTTGTATATATGGTATGATCGCAGAATGGGGGGGCAGAGTTGTGTCGCCTTTAATCCGCCAAGGGAGGTAGTAACAGCGCCAAAACAGTGTCTGTATAAACAAGACAGTCTGCGGGATGGGATCATGGGCAGGTGTGATGTTTTGGCGACATATAATCTGTGCAACCCACTGAGGGAGATTTAAAAAGTGGCTTTTAGCAGTTAGCAGCTAATTCATGAGCTGGCTAATTAGCTACTCAACGAGCTAACTGTCTGCTTGAGGTTAGCTGATGTAGCTGGTATGTGAGCTGAGCTTGACATTGTGTCCTGCCTGAACCAACGCTATGCTCAATTTGAACTTCCTCTGCCAGTCATTTTTAAGGATCAAAGACTTAATTTCCTGCATTCT